GAATACCAGCTGAGACACCCTTGTTCTCTCACAGGTGTGCACGACTTCCTGCTCGAATACCAGCTCAGACACCCTTGTTCTCCCGCAGGTGTGCACGATTTCCTGCCTGAATACCAGCCCTCCCCGATGACTGACTCGGGCCTGAGCTCCAGCTCCACCTCCTCCAGCATCAGCCTGGGAGCCACCAGCTCTGCCCTCCCGCAGCTCCCCGCCGCCCTCCTCCACGAGGCGGACCTGTCGGCCGAGCAGGACGAGAAGATTAAGGCGCTCATCGATTTCATCACCTCCAGGTGCGTGTGCGCCGAGGGGCCGCCGCTGGCTCTCCTACTGTAGCACCCTGCACTGAGCGCACCTCTCGGCCTCGTCCTGCAAGAGCCTTCCTTCTGAGAGACGGCATCTCAAGGCGCTGTAGCCGCAGCTGTTCGTTTGCTTAATATTTCTTTAAGAGATGAACGATGAAACATCAGCCGTAGGACACGTACAAATTGCTAACACCCAGCCATGAAACCTTAGCTACATTTTAATCTCTGGGTTGGAAATTAGATTTATCAGGGTGCTCAAATAAGGTATTCATATTCTGTCATTGAAATAGGACATCTAGCGCCCCTGCCTGGCATCACAGATATTTTAATTTAGTGCAAAGTGGTCTAGCAGGAATTTCAAGTTTTTTCAGGAATGTTTCTGCGTCTGCCGCAGAGAACTGTAACTTTATGCTGTACTGCTGAATTTTAGGTAAGAATGAAAACATAAAAGAGAACTAGGAGGCCGAAGCTCTTATGTATGTAGTTAGATGAGCACAAAGCCTTTATGCTGTGATAAAATAGCTGTAATCTGCTGAAACTGTGCAAATCTGTAGGCTGCACTGTGCTGAGACTGCTGTGGGATCCCTTCTCTCTCCCCCTGTCCTGTAGGAAACGTGGGCCGCTGTGGAACCACGAGGATGTTTCTCCCAAGAACCCGAACATCAAGAGTGCTGATCAGCTGACGGTGTTCCTCCGGCACGTGGTGGCAGTGTTCAAACAGTCCCAGCCAGGTAGTGTCCCTCGCCCCTCTTGGGGAATGAGCGCTTTTTATTTTGAGTGTTTAATTGATCTGATCTCAATGTCATTGACCTCTCCTTGTTTCAGTTCCCCCTAAACGAGGTTAAACTAGGTTTCCTTTAATGTAAACGTCTTCCTTCTTTATATTTTTAAACAGCTGTTCTGTTGTGAATTAAAACCTGCACTGGTATTTTTCTATTTTGCTCTCCGCCCAATTTAGCTGAATTATTTCAGGTAGTAGGAAACGCCTACGCGTTCCTTTAAATGTGTTTTGTAAGAAGAATCGCTGCATTGAAATTAAACGTAACTGTAGGACCTGTGCCATATTTCACATAAATGCTTTTACCTCTGGGCCAGCAAATTAACTGTCCAACGCTCAGTGAATCTGAAATTAATGCGCTTGACCTGATATCAATTTTCTGTGCAACAAAAGATAGCCCATGTTTTGACCAATTTGGTGTCGTGAACCGAAAACCCAGCCGTGTGCTAATACTGAAATAAAAAAGGAGTCGTTCAAGCCCTCTCTTACCGGGCTTCTGTGGGGTATTGTCTTTGCCAACGAGGTGGCTGGGGTTTCCTCCCGAGCTGCAGTGCCTGTTCGGTGAGGATCCTTCAGTGTTCAAGGCTGCAGGAGCGAGCTGGCCTGCTGCACAGCCAGGACCCTGTCCCAGGGGCCCCTGGGGACCGGTAGTGCTTGAGTGTAGAGTAGTGGAAAGGAGCTCATGGCCATTAACTGTGCACGTGTACATTGGGGTTCTTATACATTATATGTACAGCACAGCAAGTAAGAGCAACCAGAGCGATGAACGCGTTGTAGAGAACAGTAAATAAGAGGTAGAGGGGGAAAAGAAAAGAGGCGTGGCGGTGCCTGCAGGAAGCGCAGAGCTGCAGGGAGATGGGAGGCCCTGCGGAGGCAGTGAGCACGCGCCCTGCAGCACGTGGTAAGACCCCCGTCTGCCCGCAGGGAACCAGCTGGAGCAGCTCCTCAGCGAGGCGGCCCTGCAGACGGCGCTCTCCTGCTCCTCGCGCCACTACGCCGGCCGCTCCTTCCAGATCTTCCGGGCGCTGAAGCAGCCCCTCACCGCCGGCACCCTCTCCGACCTCCTGTCCCGGCTGGTGGAGACCGTGGGGGACCCTGGGGAAGAAGCTCAGGTGAGTCTTCGCTCGGGGGGGAGCCAGGTGGCTGGTGCGAATGATCTTGGTGGACCTGTAGGGGGTGATCTTCCCTCCAGCCCCAGCAGGGACAACGGGGGACACTGTGACGGAGTTGGTGATAAGTTAGGGTCTGTGTTAACGCTGGCATCCTGGCTAAACTCCACTCTGGCCTAATCCAGTCTGGCCTCCCAGCTGTGTTTTGTGGAGCGAGTGATGACTCCTCAACACCCTGGAATCTACTTGCACCCGTCCTAATTCCAGAAACCAGGTTTAACTCGTGCTTGTGCTTGTGTTAGACCTGCACTTACATACTGTTTCACTGCAATTTACTGTATCTTTGGCAGGAGAGGTCTAGATGTAATTTTAATGTGCAACTGATTGTTTGCAAGCCGCTTATGCTCACTTACAGCAGGATGTTATTTTGACGTTTGGACTCCTTCAAGGAAATCGCATCACCCTTAGCTGTTGAGGTCGGGCTGAAATGTAGGCTGGGCCTGGCCTGTGCTGGGATGGAAGACGCTTTAAGAAGGATTCTGATATCCGCAGGAAGTGGCGTTGGCTGGCCAGCGGGTGGCTCTCTTCCCTCAGGGACCAGGAATTCCAGCCCAGCCCCAGTATACCATCAGCGAGCACTGCTTTGGAAGCAGATCTTAGATGAAATGTTACCCACGTCAATGTCAATTATCCGCTCGCTCATTTATTTTTAGCATAATCATGAGCGGAGTTGAGTTTACTGTGGCATATTGTGTACCGCAACATCTTTGTCTCTGTAATTGTAATTGGCTGAGCGCAGGCCCGTGGCGTTTCTAATGATCATCGCCTGGGTGGCTGTTTCTGCAGGGCTTTGTGATTGAACTGCTGCTCACCCTGGAGTCTGGCATTGACACCCTCGCCGACACCATGAAGAGCTACGACCTGCTCTCCGCACTTTCTCAGTAAGAGCGCTGGCCGGGGTCGTGTTTTCTCTCTCTCAAACCGGGGGGGCACACGTCGAAACAAGGTGAAAGAGCTTTTAAAGCCAGAACAGGAGGCACTTCTTCACACACGGGGTATTAGGAGTGCAGGCTACCCCGGCTTCCTTCAAGAAAGAGCTGGATGGGGTCCTGGGTTCAATTAACTACCAGTGACCTTGCAGGCCAGGTGTCTCCTCTTGTTTGTAACCCTTCTTACGTTCTCATTCTCTTTATTCTGTCAAACCATTAAAATATTAGGTTTGCAGAACCTAAAAAAAGGTTGACACAGACGAATTGGTTTAAGGTTGTTTCTGTTAGAATGAGCTTCCCTCTAGCAGCGCGGTGTGTTACAGGGGTATTGCTGACGCAGGTAGACGGAGATGGGCAGGGCGCTGCGCTGCGTGCGGAGCTGAATTGCGGAGTGGTGTGAGCCAGGCTCGCTCCCGAGCCTGCTTGTTTGTTTCTCAGCGCCTCTTCTGTGCCGTGTGTGTTGAAACGCAGAGGTTCGTACCACGACCCCCTGCTGGGGACCAAGTTTGCGGCCAACCGGAAGAGCACCGGGCAGCTAAACCTGAGCAGCGGGCACTTCCACAGCCACTACGGTCACGCGCGCAGCCACTCCCTGCGGGCCAGCCTGGCGGGCGAGCGTAAGGGCGACCGGCGCCGCAGCAACACGCTGGACATCGCGGACGGCCGCGCCAACTTCGGCAGCCTGGCCAGGACTCGCAGCCTCTCCTCCCTGAGAGAGGGGGGCGGCGGCGACGTGCCGCCGCCCGTGGACCCCTGCAACCTGATGGCCACCATCTTCTGGATCGCCACCTCCCTGCTGGAGTCGGACTACGAGTTCGAGTACCTGCTGGCCCTGCGGCTCCTCAACAAGCTGCTGGGCCAGCTGCCCCTGGACAAGGCGGAGAGCCGGGAGAAGATCGAGCGGGTGCAGGGCAAGCTCAAGTGGTACCACTTCCCCGGCCTGCAGCAGCTCTTCCTCAAGGGCTTCACGTCGGCCTCCACGCAGGAGCTGACCGTCCACCTGCTCGGCAAGCTGATCACCGTCTCGCGCCACGCGCTGGTGGACCCCTCCCAGGTGGCAGGTGAGCACCCCAGTGGCCGCGTTGCTGGAGCTGGCTTTCTTACTGTGTCGGATTTTGCCAACGAGGGTGATGGGGAAGAGAACTCCTGCCGTTCGGCTGTGGGCGGGAGAAGGAGCCTGGCGCTGTGGTCCCGGATCACACCGGCCTCTCCGGAATCTCGTTCTTGGGTCTGCCAAGCGTCCGGGTTTCCTCCGGTAGCGCGATCTGCCAGTCCTGCTGTCTTCAAGCCCTGGTGCTTGGCCAGGCTGAGCTGACGGCGCACGAGTGAGTGCTGGTGCCATTGGATGCCACGCTGTCTTCCTCATGGGGGCGTCTGGTCAATGCAGCCGGCTTCTGAGCCTTGACGAGCTGACGGTGCTCAGGAAAAGTCCTTGCTTTCTTTGACACGAAAACTGATGGGAGCTTTGTGTAAGCAAAGGAAAATTGTTTGCCATCATGTCACATTTGACTTATTTGAAACATGCTTTAAAGAGCCGATACGATACGTATGAAGTAATGCATGCTGTTTTTGCAATGAGTTTTACTTTGTTGTTTTTTTTGAAAAAACATGTAAGATCAAGGCAGTGCTGTTCAGTATTCCTTGGATTCCATTTCTGTGCATATTTCTGTTGTCATGTTTCTATCAATAAGCTCTCTGAAAATTACTTTTCTTATCTGCCAGGTTTCCCATTAAATATCCTTTGCCTCTTGCCTCATCTCATACAACATTTTGATAACCCCACCCCATTCTGCAAGGAGGCGGCTGATAAGATTGCCAAGGTGAGCGCCGCCGAGCCAGCCAGTAAGAGTAGGGAGGGTAATATCCTTCTGCCCTTGTGGGGGTTTAATATGCAGGTCGTCTTCTGCCTTTTCATTAATGGTTTTCTCTGCCTTTTTTTTAAACTCTTGTCAAAGTTGAACACTTTGTCCCATTTGTTATCGTTGGCAGTTTTAATAGCTCAGACTTTATTGGTGAGCAAACCCAACCTGCGTTCAATGCATCCACTATTGATGTGGTCAGGTTTTTGAGTGTAAGTGGTGTTAAGACTTTTATCATAATCGAACGGGGCATTGAGCTTCTTTCAAGCATGTTTGTTTGCTGATCAGTACTACACTTTGGGCACCTGTTTCTGTATCCAGTATCATTTCCGATGCTGCATCGTGTTGTAAAAACCTCAGGCATGTGTTCCTGGCAGGGCGCCGGTCCGAATGAGCTCCGGACTGGCGGGGCGCCGGTCCGAATGAGCTCCCGACTGGCGGGGCGCCGGTCCGAATGAGGTCCGGACTGGCGGGGCGCCGGTCCGAATGAGGTCCGGACTGGCGGGGCGCCGGTCCGAATGAGCTCCGGACTGGCGGGGCGCCGGTCCGAGCCGCGAGTAAAGCACTGTTTGTCCCTTCCAGGTCTGTGCCGAGGAGAAGTCGGCCACTCTCTCCAACTTGGCCCACATGATGAGCTTGTACAGCACTCACAGCTACTCCCGCGACTGCTCCAACTGGATCAATGTGGTGTGCAGATACCTGCACGATTCGTTCTCGGATATCACGTTCAGCCTGGTCACTTATCTCGCTGAGGTAAGTTGTTTGCTCCATGGGGTGCTAGCTGCTGCTTGCTGGGAACCCATGCAAAGTCATGTCTTAAGGGGAGAGCGATGATCAGAGCAGGGTTTGCTCTTGAGCTGCCTTCAGGGGCATCGCTGTCAACCCCCAACCTCCTGCGTGCCAGGGGCAGGCTGTGTGCTTGAAATTGCCACCCAGTACACTGGAGACGTCACTGGAGTCCCTGCTTCACTTTGTCAGTTTTCTCTCAAGTCATCAGCGTAGGTTTACAGCCAAGAGCCATGTGTTCGTGCAGGTCTCCTTTTTGAACATCCCTTTACTTCAATTCACTGTTTGAACACCTGGAGACCAATCTCCTCTTTAAGTATGTGGGTCTGTCTAGTTCCCGCTGCTTTGGGGCTCCTGTAAAACCACTCTGGGAGGTGGAGCATACATAGAGTCCTGAGAAACCCCAAACTGCGGTCATTTCCTGTGAGCTGCATTCCCTGAACCGCAGTTGTTGGGAGATTATTTTGTCAGGAGCTCTGCTTGTGCGTCATGCCTGTGTCTGTATCTGTGACCCGCTCTCTGGCTTCCTCCCAGCTGCTGGAGAAGGGCTTGGCCAGCATGCAGCAGTCCCTCCTGCAGATCATCCACAGCCTCCTGAGCCACATCGACCTCTCAGCTGCTCCGGTGAAGCAGTTCAACCTGGAGATCATGAAAGTCATTGGGAAGTATGTGCAGGTGAGTCACCTCTCCGACAAAGCCGCAAAAGAGGTGGGTCGTCTTAATGCTTTTTAGGCCACCTTCATGTGTTTTTTTCCCCGTTTTTTGAACAATATGTTTTTAATTCTTGATATGAACCTTTGCAAGCAGAATCAGAACATTTTGACCATCTACCTCCCAGAATCACATCTTGCTGTAATCAGGAATAAGCTAAGGTTATCAGCCTAGCAAAATGGCTGGGCAGCTGGTTCCAGACTCAGGGCTACTGTTTTCAGTTTTAAGTGCTCTTTCACATAGCACAGAACTCACATGTGCACTTAGATAAATGAGGACACATCATGCGTTCTTCCCATGGATTGTAAGATTTTGTGGAATTCAGTTAATTATAACCGTTTCAGGAAATGTCTAACAGTTGTTTTTTCTGCTCTTAATGTACAAGTTCTCTTAGCTCTGAAAGGTCATGCAACTATTATGTCTTCCTTTTCTGCAAAACTGTAAAACGTAAAGAGTAAAGTAAAGAAAAGTAAGAAAGTCTAGAATCCATATTGAAGCACTTCCCCTGTCCCGCTGCCTTGCTGTGTTTGTACCCGTGTCTGAAGGGTCACACTTGTAATTCCATTCTCTGTCACTGAGCAGTGTTGCAGGACAGCGACAGCGGTCTGCTGGCCGCCTTTGGCTTTTGAAGGACCACATTTTAAATAAGATAACCCTAATCCTCTGCACATCATCCAGGGTAAAAAATAGAAATAAAAAAATGACTCCTCTGCCTTTTGCGAGAGCCATTTGGAAGAGCCTGCCTCGGGACAGGAAGAGGCCTTAGTTTCCATTCTTGTAAGAGTGATGTGTTCAGATACCTGAATTGCTTTTGAAGGCTTTTTTTTTTCTTTTCCACTCAGCCCGAGGGTGTATGTTCAATAAAATACTCGCCATTTTTTGGCATTCCTGTTTCTCCTGTTTTTCTTCAGTTTGTAAATTTAAAGTGAAAAATTTAAAATTGAGAAGTACCTTCTCACTCTGCCCTTAATATTTACTTATTTACTAGCTAACAAATTTAATAAGTAAAGGTTTATTCCTGCTGAAAAGAGAGGAAAAGAAAGACAATGTTTCTGCTGTGGAGCCTTCTTCATGTGTGTAAGAAGGCTCCACAGCAGAAACGTTGTATTTCTGCTCTTCTCTTTTCAGCAGCAATAAATCTTTACTTCTTCCTTTGCAGCCTATGCATGCTGACGCAGATGCCTACTTGAACTACTTCAACAAATTTAATATTTTAATTTACTAATTTAGTAGTTTGCAAAAAGGCTGGTAGAAAGGTGATCAGTTTTACTGTTCATCCCTCAGAATCTTTCCTTCTAATTGTCTTCTCTCCACGCTTGATACTCATTTGTAACGACGCAGGAAGCGTTTCGGTTTGAAATAACCGAGGTCAGGAGCCCTGCGGTCATTAAGCCGAGCGCTACGAAGTCGAGCAGCGGTGTGGGAGCCCTTGAACTCGCTGGCGGACGCGGTTGACGGCCAGTCTCCCTGGAAGGCTCCGTCTGTAACGGCAGGGTGCTCATGGCTGTGTTCTTGTGCGCAGAGTCCCTACTGGAAGGAGGCTCAGAATATCCTGAAGCTGGTGGTGTCGCGGTCGGCCAGCCTGGCCGTGCCCGAGGAGGTGCACCGCTCCTATAGCTCCGAGTCCGCCGGCTCCCCCGAGATCGCCTTCACCCGCATCTTCAACAGCTCCTCCAAGGAGCTGCCCGGCAAGACGCTCGACTTCCACTTCGACATCTCGGAGGTACGGCGGCACCACTCGCCGGATCCCAGCTGGGCCAGCCGCTGACGTAGCTCACTACACGTGTGCCAGTGGAGTTTGGGTCCCGTGGGCGGCCTGGGCATTATCCTGGGTGCTAAGGTCCCGTGTGCAGGGCTGCTGAGCTACCAGGGGATCTCTGTTGGACACTGGGACTCCCGTCTCTTCTGGCACGGGCACTAATACTGTGGGGGCGGGACTGGGGGGAACAAAGTTCATCATGAAGCAAAGGGCTGTTCCCAGCTTTTCTGTCTCACGTGTCTCCCCCCAGACGCCCATCATAGGGCACAAGTACGGGGACCAGCACAGCGCTGCGGGTCGGAACGGCAAGCCGAAGGTCATCGCCGTGACGAGGAGCACCTCGTCCACGTCCTCTGGGTCCAACTCCAACGCCCTGGTGCCGGTCAGCTGGAAGAGACCTCAGCTCTCTCAGGTACGTCCCAAGCGTCAGTGGGCAGTGGGCAGTAGTCTGTGGACAGTGGCCAGTGGACGGTAGGCAGTGGGCAGTAGGCAGTGGGCAGTGGGCAGTGGGCAGTGGGCAGTGGGCAGTGGGCAGTGGGCAGTGGGCAGTGGGCAGTGGGCAGTGGGCAGTGGGGATTAGTCTGTGGACAGTGGCCAGTGGGGATTAGTCTGTGGACAGTGGCCAGTGGGCAGTGGACAGCGGGCAGCAGGAGCAAAAGGAAAACACCTTCCCTGTGATGGCCCAGATACATAGTTTTCACCTCCACCTCCTGCTTCCTGTATTTCAGAGGAGAACCAGGGAGAAGCTGATGAACGTCCTTTCCCTGTGTGGCCCGGAGTCTGGTCTTCCCAAAAACCCTTCTGTAAGCTTTCATGGTTTTTTTTAAAACCCGTTTCGATGTTTGGCCGAGGGGCTGCAGGCCCATGGCCCACTTCTCTGTCTCGTCCTGTGTCTCTGTGTGTAACCCTCTTCCTCTCCTCTACCCGGCCGTTCCGGGGGGCTCAGGTCGTGTTCTCCTCGAACGAGGACCTGGACGCCGGAGACCAGCAGGCCAGCCTGATCTCCACCACGGAGGAGGCCATCCGCGAGGAGGAGGCCGCGGTGGAGGACGCCAGCAGCGAGCAGCAGTTCGGGGTCTTCAAGGACTTTGACTTCCTGGATGTGGAGCTGGAGGATGCCGAGGTGAGACCTGCCATTGCCCAGGGTGCAGAAGCTGCAGCGGTCTCTGGGCTCTGCGTGTGCAGTCCTAGCAGGGCCTCCTCTGTGGGGAAGACGCAGGTTTGCGTGGGTCTTTACAAACAGCAGTTCCGCTGCCATTTTGAAAACAGGGTCTGTAACTTTTTCTTGAAAATATGTGAATTTGTTTAGAGAAACGGGCCTGGGTTTTTATATATATGCACACAAGTATGTGCAATTGCATGTGCAATCGTCATGAACTGTATAAGTGGCTGTAAGTTGTACGTGAACAAAAGACCCCTTTTTGTTTCCATGTTTTCGTTTCATTGCACAAGCTGGGATGGGTAAGTGGGATGAATCGCTGAGGCGTAATGATTTCTGGGCTCCCTGAGAGCGTGCACGTCCTGCAGCAGTCTGCATCCCATTGGGTAGCGCCACTTCAGTCCCACTGCGCCCCGGTGAAGGGATGGCAATCTGGGAATCTGCTCTCCACCCCCTTCTGTTGCTGCTCTTGAGAGCCAGCTGTCTGTGTACCTGAAGAAACGAGCTATATGAGCATGATAAGAGAACTGGGGAGTTTTCTGATTTGTTCAGATATGTTAATATCCCTGAGGCCTGTGCCTTGTGTCCCTGCCTGCTTTGTGCTGCCTGAACAGAGCTTTCTGTTCGAGCTGTATGCAGGAGCTGGAGTTCAAGGCGCCCTTTCATAAAGCTCTATATAAGGTGTTACCCAGATGGTCGGCTTTAATGTGGGCTGTAAGGTTCAGAAGCAAACTGAGTCATTTTCGTTTTCTTCAGTGAGGCATTTTGCCCTTTGCCCTTGTTTGGGTTAACACATCGAAAACGTTAAAACTCTACGATTGGATTGGTTATGAAATCATAATTGTGCATGAAAATGTCAGAGAGACACTGATGACAGTGTACAAGAAAACAGCTTGTGTTTAGTGCCAGAGCTGCTCTTTGGATCCTGCCATGAGGTGAACGAGATCTAGCTATGTGTGTGTTCACCGTCAGCCCAAGTTTGGATGAAGTCTACAAGTGTCTTCCTTGTTCTGTGTTCACTGTTCCTGTTCTTTCTAATTCACTTGTCTTTTTCCTTTTTTTTTTGCCAACCAGGAGCTGCAGGTAAGTTGCAGCCTGGTGCAGTGCGCTGTTCACTTATTATTTCTGCTTTGTCAGTCCTGTGTCCGTTGTGTGTGACTAGACCTGCGCCCAGGAGAGTTACCACTCGGCCCAGCCCTTCAGAAAGCAAAGGGGAATCAATGTGCACTGTAGATTTTTGTTTTCTGCGTCAGTGTTCCTTGTTTAATACTGCAGGACAGTTGCTGGACTGAGTGAAAGTTTGCTTGCTGTGCTGAGCAGCAGAACATTCATTCCTGCAGGGTTTTTTTTCTCTTGCACGTTTGTGTTGTTCTGTTGCTTTATTGCAAAACAGCTAGGCTGTTTGTTGATTTAAAACAGTTAGGTTTGATCACTCTGGTTCCGTGCTGCAGCGTCAACAGAGACAGTTTTAACCAGCCCAGTATCACTGGTTATAATTCTGTTGTCCAAACCCAGCATCCCGTCTGTGATCAGTCAGATTTACATTCACCCAGGCGTTTCCGAGGTTCCTGTGCTTGAAAAGGTCTAGGGAGATTAGACACCCCTGGGAAGATCGCTTGACAGCACCTTCCTGTGTTACTGGAACGCGGGGTCACGTGTCCTGGAGATTAACCGCAGCGCTCTTGGTGGCCCTAGGGGGAGAGCATGGACAATTTCAACTGGGGCGTGCGCCGGCGCTCTCTGGACAGCATCGACAAAGGGGACACCCCCTCTCTGCAGGAGTGCCAGTACTCGGGCAGCTCGCCCAGCCTCAACCTCACCAACCAGGAGGACACGGATGAGTCGTCGGAGGAGGAGGTACTGACTGCTAACCAGATACTGTCCTGCTCACCTGTCGTAAGTCACTCCTCTCTCGCTGGGGCCCCGCGCCCCTCTGCCTGCATGGTGTGTGTAGCGGCCCCAGGCTGTCGGGCCGAGCTGCTTGCTTCTGCCTCTACTGGACCTTTGAGCATCCAGACTTTTTTTTTCCGTTTTTTATTAAGTAACAGTTCAGGGTAAGTTGCTTTGTGTTTCATGGGGGGAAAAAAAATAGTGTTGCAGGATCCCCGATGCTTACTTGGCTGCAAGGGGCAGGGGCGCCCACAGTGCCAGTCGGCTGCAGGTGAGCTGCGGGCCCTGGCGAGGGGGCTGTGGCTCAGAAAGTCACCTTTCGACAGCCTGTTCTTTTACGGGCTGCTGCGTGAGTCCAGTCCGGCAGCCCTGATCGTCCAGAGCGGACCGGCTGCCCAGCGCGCCGGGACGTGCTCATCGTCAGGGCCCAGTAGCCCGCCCAGTAAAAAGCCCCAGGGAGCAACAGACTCCCAACTCAGTAACTGGCCGTAAAAACCCAAAGCTTTACATCCTGTTTCACTTTTTTTTTTTGTCTGTTTATTCTTTCAATCTCTCGCCTCCATATCTGGAGCTTCACCAACACCTAGTGAGGATCCGCGAGGCGGGAAGACAGTATAGCAAAGCCCTTTTCTCCTGGCGTTGGTTGCTGGTTTTTCAATTTGCCCACCTTGCTTCCTAATGCTTTTTGGCAGCAGTGGAATGCTTTAACAAATCTGCGACGTGTGTTGGCTGTGACAGTGGCTCGGATGGAGGCCAGCGGGTTATCCCTGCTGTAGGCCAGTGGGAAGCCTGTTACTGCAGCAGGCTTCTCAGCGCTGAACAAGCACGCAGCTTGATGACGTCAGTGAGCAATGAACAGCGAAGGGGTTCAGCGAGATCCTGAGCTCTTCTCTTGCTCAGTGTAACACAGAGAGTGTGACCCCGCTCAGTTTAGGTCAAATGACCTCTTATTGGAACAAAAAGCCATAAAACAGTTGAAACAATTTTTGGTTGTTTGATTATACTGCAGCCCAGTCGCCTGTGTTGTGTAATAGAAATTGTTCAAACAATGCAGTTATATTACTTTTCAGTTATGTTTGAATTGTTTAATCTGTTTTCAAGCTTGACTATATCTGATGCAGTTTTGAGAAAATAAGAATTTTGTTCCATCTCTGCTTTCTAATTTAGAAAGTTAGAATTATTTACCCCTTTAAGGAAATAATTGAGCGCATTTAAAGACGTGCCTGAGCGACTGAGTGTGTTGCGTAATGTTTAGAGTTCAGAATTCAGTTTATTTGTGATACGCACAAGTGCAACGAACTGCTTATGTCGGTCATGTGAATGCTTGGCCTGTCTGTCCTGCTGAGGGACGTCCGTGTGCCCTGGCTGGAACAGTGCTCTGTGTTGGTCCCCTGCAGCTGAACAGCGACTCGGCCACGGACGACGCCGCGTCCAGCCACGTGGACTCTCTCCAGCAGTCCCAGGAGTCCTCCGGCAGCGCAGTGGCCGAGGAGAGCGCCCCGCCCGCGCGGGCCCACAGCCCCTCTCCGGAGCCCGCGCCCCCCGATAGCGCTAACAGCCAGCTGCCTGAGGTGGGACCAATCGGGAGCCGCAATCGGGGCTGGCACGTGGGGTCCCCCTAGCCTTCCGCGTCTCTGCCTCCCTCCTCTCCGGGAGGCGTCAGTGCGCCCCCCTGCGCCTCTCTTCGCAAGCTTCGCGGGGTGTCCTGGCTACCGCGCGCTTGACCTTTCCGCTGGGGCGGTGATTGCTTCTCCTTGCCTGTGGGTGGGGATGCCAGGTGCTCTCTCATGCTAAGTGCCCGCTGTGCTGCTGCTTGTTGGCTCTGATTTATTTGTTGCTACTCTTGCTCGGGGGGGGAGGGGTCTTCCTGCCTGCTCTCGACAGCTCGGGGGGCTGTCGTCTTGCCTGCTCCTGCTGCTTGGGGTGTCGGGGTGCTCTGTGTTTGGGGTGGAGGCTCTGTCTGTCCGCTGTGTGATTGGGGTTGAGATGAGGGAGCGCACCTCAGGCCTGCTGTGCTAGCATGAATTACATTCATGGCCTTCAAATCTAAAAACCCGGACCTGAAAAATCCCCTCCAAATTTCACCTTATTCTGACCTGAAAGGCCTGTGGACCTAACCAGAAACCTTACATCCCGGCTGTCTCTGTAGTCTGTAAGTATATTAATACCAGGTTGTGACTGTCATGTGGCCCATGGCCTGATTGTGGTTATACTGTGTGAATTTCCATCCTAACATGCTCATACGTGGTCTGCTAACATCTACTAACACAGCTCCGAGTGGGGTCTGCTTTCTCTTTGCAGCGCGGGGGCTCTTCCGTCACGCCCTTTTCTCGTTGGGCCTTTGTCGGATGCGGGCCTGTTGTTGACAAGGGCGGAAACGTCAGGGTGGGGTTTCGCGGAGTTTGCGTTTCCGCCCCGGGTCTGTCGAAGGCCTTGCAGCCGCGCGAACGGCAGGTAGAGAAGAGAGCTGCACGTGCCCCCGGCCCGCGGGGAGCCAGATGTGAGGGCGACCGGGACAGGCTTCCTGCAGGGCGGTGCGGGAGGCGCTCTTGAGCCGGCTTGAGGCCCGAGGGAGAGGGAGAAGGGGGGCGGGGGCCCGGAGCGCACGAGCAGGGCGGGAGAGGAAGAGCGGCCCTGGGCCAGGGGGGCGGGGGGCTGCAGTCTGTGAATGCGCGGAGAGGTCCTGAGAAGAATAAATAATGATGTTGGAGAGCCGGGGCGAGGGGGGTCCTCCTTTAAGGACAAGCGTGGTTGCCAGTGTCCCTCTGCAGCGAGCGTCCTGGAGTCCCTGTGAAAGGACGCAGACAGGACGTCGTGGACAGGAGAGGTGAAACGGGGAACTATCTGCTTAGACGTCTGATTCCCACAGCTCTGGCTCTGTGTTCCCTGAATTGGTTGGCCAGTTATATTCCTGATTTGTACAGTATGTCTTCTTTCCTGCGTCAGTCATTAGGCAAGTGCTGAGTGCCCCCGCTTACCCTTTGACTAAGTTTATGGCAGCTTTTCCTGACTGGACATATCTTCTCTGTGGTGGGAAGTTAAGATTCTCGGTTCACAGCTACGTGTGGACAATTGGGGATTTGTCAAGCACTTGTTGTCTTACTGGACAAATAGCGTTGCAAGGAAACGCGTCTCGCTCATACTGCGCCGCTGCAGGTATGAATGTGAGCTCAAGGGTAGTGCTCATTATAAGCATTGGCAGGCAGTAATGTAATGACTTCCAGAAGGGCTGAGATAGAACAGTCAATGCTGTTAGTCATCGTCTTGCGCTGGTGGCATGTGACCGTAAAAGCTTTCGATAACGCCATTCGTTTTAAGAGCCTTGGCAGTCGTCCAGTCTCCCCTTTTAATACATCCAGAATGAGAGCTTTCAGGCGGAAGTCTTTCCTCTCTGTTGAACCTGGTGCTGGTGCCCTTTGGAGGTGTGGAAGGAGAGAGGAAAGACGCAGAGGTACATAGAAACACGGCCACACTTCCAGTCCGATTTACAGTGCTGTTTATGACCTGGTACTCGCTCAGAACTGGAGGGACCTCACAAAAGCCAACTTTTCCCCTGCAGTTTCAGTGGCTGCTATTCTCCAGAATTGTTTCTCTGCAGCGCTGGACATAGTTAATGAGTTAATGAGTGTTTTAATGGCAGAGGATTCCCCTGCATGAGTTTGTTAAAGGAGGCGGATCTCCGTGCGTTAAATCAGAAAGTCCCCTCTCGGGCTCCTTGTGTGTTGATGTGAAGCAGGGGAATGTGCGGTACGAGTCGCCCTGAGCTGACGGAGCGCGGAGTGGCGCTGCAGAGGGCCCGCAGGCTCGGGTCCTGAGCGCGGTTTGGGTTGCTCTCCCCGCAGGATGGGAGCGCTGCCGCCGCCGCCTCCGCCGCGGGGGAAGAGCTGAGCAGCCGCGTCGGCGAGGCCGCG